AGGGCGGAGGGAGAAGATAAGTCAAGCGAAATAAAGTTCCAGAAAAACTTTTTATCAAACGTAATTTTATTTGCAAGTCCATAGAACCGTTTATTTGTAGACTAAGCACTAGTGAATGGAAGTAAGAGACGGCTCATAACGAACACGGTACGATTCTCGCTTGAGATTTGATATGTGTGTGTTATTTGTGTCACGTTGTTAACGTATTATAACCTCACATGTCATTGTTATGCACGAAGCCAGTAAACACGAATACCAGAGACTGAATAACACTATATGGAAGTGAGCGCCTGGGCAGAGCGGAAGCTTTCGCCCCAAAAGAATTAATTGTGATTCGATTCTCGACTCTGATCACCCCCGACACATCTCAAATAGTAAACGAATCAGAGGAAAGCCAAGGACGTGGTATTAGTGCACTAGATTGAGTGATAAAACATAGCTAGAGAAATCATGGACGTCCCCCAATGTGGTCAATGCGGAGTTGGCCCGAAAGATCATAAACATCCGTTATGGCCCCCAACGTTATCGGAATTTACCAGCGTGCTCCAACGACTGTTGTCGCAAAAAAGAATATAAAAAAAAAAAAAAGAATATAAAATAATTTTTTTATAAACAAGTTTTACTTTCAGACTTATTTGTTAATTTATGTATGTGATTTTCTTCATTTCTATTTTTTTTTGTTTAGTTACGTTTGATTTTTATATTTTTTATTTTTTTTTTTGGAATTTACCAGCGTGCTCCAACGACTGTTGTCGAAAAAAAGAATATAAAAAAAAAAAAAAGAATATAAAATAATTTTTTTATAAACAAGTTTTACTTTCAGACTTATCTGTTAATCTATGTATGTGATACTCATCAATGCAATATATATTTGAGTAGATACGTCTGATTTTTATATTTTTTATATTTTTTTTCCCTATCATTTTTCTTCCTGTGAATTTTTGTTCCGTGTACTGATACTTAGGAAATCATCAACGTGTATATGGACTTACAAAATAAATTACGGTTAATTAAAGTGTTTCATGCGACTTTTTTCTCCTCCCAAAATCCAATCACAACCTGGCCACAAATCTGTCAAACGATGAAGTATTCAGGCGAAAGTGCTTATTTGTAAACATGAACTTTGCCCCATCTTATATAATGACATAGCACGTGGTGTAGATCTACATCCCATGACATGCTAATGGTTAGTACGAGATAATACAATACAGAATTCTATCTATTTTTAAAATCCTCTATGTCGACCTCGAGTGTTTCTTGATTTCTTTCTGGCGGTACATTTTTCGGAAGGCTCATTTATCCACTTCCCGTCATCCTATCGAGCTGAAAGTGGCACACAGACACGTTGTCGATGACAACACATTCGATCAAATGTTCACCCCAACCCCATAAATCAGGTTTTTTCCCGTTCTGAATGCACTTAGTTTGATAAAAAAAAAATTAAAAATTCCCATAACAAAAACACAGTTGCCACAATCGCATAAATGATACATCACGTAAAATCAAATCAATCATAAATCACGTACCGTCACATAAATGATAAATCACGCACAATCACATAAATGATAAAACACATACAATCCCATAACTGATCAAACACGCACCATTACATAAATGATAAATCACGCACAATTACATAAATAATAAATCACGCACAATCACATAAATCACGCACAATCACATAAATCACGCACAATCACATAAATCACGCACAATCACATAAATCACGCACAATCACATAAATCACGCACAATCACTTCAATGCAAACACAATGGTACATAAATGGTTCACAAGAAAAACTATTTTTTTAAATTTTTTTTTTTGTGTGGAGTGGTTTAATTAATTCTATTATTCTCTGCGTGTCAGTGAATGAATTTGTGTGAACATGCACCACCATTGTTGTCTGTGAGATCCCAGTGCCCCCCCCTGCCCCCCCCCCCGTTTCCAAAGTTAGCGCGAACACAATAAAATCATTTTTTTTTTTTTTTAAATTGACCTCGTTATGATTTGAAAAATCCACGACCACGCATTTGACGAGTCCAATCCACGATCTTGACCAGTGGTTCTCTATCTTGGGGGCGTGCACATGGCCATCATCTGGTCGTTGTCTTCGTCTCTGGCACAGCGACACGTGTACCCGTCTGGCAGCGTGACGGTTTTGTCCAGAGGGATTGTTGCACCGTGCGTCTTACAATTGGGTCCTGGAATTAAGTTTTAAGAAATTTTGAGGTGGTCATTTTGAAAAAAAAATGTATATATATATACATATATTTTTTTTTTTAAAGACTAAGCGATTCTCAACCTTTGTTCCTTTGTACAGCAGTAAAAAAAATATATTATCTAGCTAAAATTTTGCAAAATATATTATTAAACTGTCTTACTGCATATTATAATTATTTTTTTTGTAGTTATTATTAATACTAAAGATATTTTTCAGATTAAAGAAAAAAATTGAACGCAAAAATCATTTTGTGTTTGTGTACGTCAAAGTCTTGTTTAAAGGTCTTTTAAACATTTGCAACACACTAATGTGTCATGACTCAACAGTGGACATCCGGTGAGTCAATCGAAAGACCTGCTCAATATATATATATATATATATATATATATATATATACATACATATTTATATATATATATATGTGTGTACATGTTTAAAAACGTATTATAAAATAAAATCTTTTCAGAGGCCAATAAAACATTTAAGTGCATGGATATATTTTTTTTTTTTTAAATATTAAAAAATTATAAATTAGGAGGCATAGTTCCACGTCAACTCTTCGAAATGTTTTTTTTTTTTTTTTTAAAAATAATTTGTCATTTCTGTTTTGGTTTGTTCATCTTTCAAAAAAAAAAGAATAACAGGATTTGTTTTTGCAGTATGTAACTGCTGCTGTTGTTGTTTGAAATGAAATCGATAAGCATTTACTGGACTAGGGTGATCGGGTTATTAGATATGAAAACCATCATCAGATTGGTCGTTTTGATTGATCCAGACTGCTCGCTGGTGAAAGGCTTCTTGCCGACATGTTGGTTGTTTTGTTGCGTTTTTTTTTTTGTTGTTGTTTTGTTGTTTTGTTTTTTGTTTTTCAAGTTTTCCAACACTTTGTTTCCCTCAGTTCTGAAGATTGATCCTGCTTGCAGGATCTCATTTTGGATCCTCAGCGGAGTTTTTTTTTTTAAATTTTATTTAGACATAATGTTTCTGGAGAACCTCCTAGCGACTGTGTTGACAGTAACTGGAGGGAGCCGCGCGCCAAGACGTACTATGGAATGGCCAGGCTCAAGTACTCACCATTGGGGCAGACGGCACAGCACTGCCCAGGGGGCGTGTACCCGTCTACACACTGTTTGTCCGAGCAGTCGACGGAGCTGCAGTTCCAAACGCCGGCGACACACTTTGTGCAGACGTAACATGGCGTCTCTTCCGGTTTCGTTACACCCTGGTGAAAACCAAAACAGCGTGAGAATTTTCGAACATATCTTGTACAACAAAGGAAACTTTTTTTTTTATTGAGCATATTTTTTATTATTATTAAGGTGTTTTTATGATGCGAAGTACCCCAGCATAGGGCTTGGCTCACTGCTACCCCAGCATAGGGCTTGGCTCACTGCTACCCCAGCATAGGGCTTGGCTCACTGCTACCCCAGCATAAGGCTAGGCTCACTGCTACCCCAGCATAGGACTAGGCTCACTGCTACCCCAGCATAGGACTAGGCTCACTGCTACCCCCGCATACGACTAGGCTCACTGCTACCCCAGCATAGGACTAGGCTCACTGCTACCCCAGCATAGGACTAGGCTCACTGCTACCCCAGCATAGGACTAGGCTCACTGCTACCCCAGCATAGGACTAGGCTCACTGCTACCCCAGCATAGGACTAGGCTCACTGCTACCCCAGCATAGGACTAGGCTCACTGCTACCCCAGCATAGGACTAGGCTCACTGCTACCCCAGCATAGGACTAGGCTCACTGCTACCCCAGCATAGGACTAGGCTCACTGCTACCCCAGCATAGGACTAGGCTCACTGCTACCCCAGCATAGGACTAGGCTCACTGCTACCCCAGCATAGGACTAGGCTCACTGCTACCCCAGCATAGGACTAGGCTCACTGCTACCCCAGCATAGGACTAGGCTNGGCTCACTGCTACCCCAGCATAGGGCTAGGCTCACTGCTACCCCAGCATAGGGCTAAGCTCACTGCTACCCCAGCATAGGGCTAGGCTAACTACTACCCCAGCATAGGGCTAGGCTCACTGCTATCTCAGCATAGGGCTAGGCTCACTGCTAACCCAGCATAGGCCTAGGCTCACTGCTACCCCAGCATGGGACTAGGCTCACTGCTACCTCACCATAGGGCTAGGCTCACTGCTACCCCAGCAAAGGGCTTGGCTCACTGCTACCTCAGCATAGGCCTAGGCTCACTGCTACCCCAGCATAGGGCTAGGCTCACTGCTAACCCAGTATTGGGCTAGGCTCACTGCTACCCCAGCATAGGGCTAGGCTCACTGCTACCCCAGCATAGGGCTAGGCTCACTGCTACCCCAGCATAGGGCTAGGCTCACTGCTACCCCAGCATAGAACTAGGCCCTCTGCGCTTCACATGAAAATTAGCAATTCCAGAAAATTTTACATTTTAAAACAACAGTAGGTATAAAGCTTAACCTCCCCCACCTAAGTACTGTCTACCCTTGTCTAGCCATGGACAGCACCCAGCAGCACCGAGCATTGTTTATCAGTTAGAGGTGGGAGTGGGATGAGAATGAGTCGGTATAGCACAGTTTGAAGAGATGGGTCTTGACGGCAGGTTTTGGAGGCTGTTAATGTCGGTATATTGAGGATGTATAATGCGAGAGAAGTCCATTGTTTGGGGGCACAGAAAGAGAAAGATCGTTCACCATAAGTTTTAGTGCGTGTTCTAGGGAAAAGAAAGAACACGCGTGTCTGCGGAGAAACGAAGCTTTCGAAGGGGTGAATAGACAGAAAGAAGTTTAGTAAGATAGGAAGGGCAGGAAACAGAGAAAAAGTTGTAGCAGGGAACAGACAGCCTGCAATTAATGCGAGCCTGTGAATGGAGCCAATGTTATGAGTGAAGTCGTGTAGTGACGTGATCACGTTTCTTTGCCTTTAGAATAAACCTAGCAGCTGAATTTTGAATTTTCTGAGGTTTTTCTATGAAATGTTTTGGTGAATCTGAAAGAAGAGAGTTGCAAATGTCAAGACGAGAGAGAAGGAGAGCACAGACTAGTGTTTTCGTTGCGCTAACTGTGAGGTAGTGGCGGATGGAGCTGAGCTGACAAAAAGCGGTGTACGCAGAGCGACAGATGTGAGAAATAATGATTATTGAGAGACATGTTGTCAGAAAGAATGTAACCAAGATTCCTAGAGGGTAGCTACCTACTTGAAACGAGATGGGGAGAGCTGAGTTAGAGGATAATTCATGATTGTGAATGAGGATTGCTTGCGTTTTGTCATCGTTAAGCTTCAAATAGCTGACAGACATCCATAATTTGACATCGCCAATGCACTCCTGCAAGGTGTGGATAGCGGAGTTGACAAGAGTGGGATAGATATGCTTGTATAGCTGCATGTCATCTGCAAAAGACTGGCTCTCAACAGCATGCCTCCTGAGCAGGAGGATAAGTAGCCTGGGATACATTGTGAATCGGACGGGACCCAAAACGTACCCTGTGGCACTCCATACACCAAGTCAGCACTACGGGAGAGACAACCATCGACAGCGACCGCGTGCTTTCTATCGGACAGGAGGGACCGAAACCAAGACAAAACTAAACCGGCATTGCCAAAGTAATTTTCAAGGGTTTTGAAGAGGGTTTTGAAAAGGGTTTGATGGTCAACGGTATCAAAGGCCGCACTGAAATCTAAAAGGATCAAGATGGAGACATTACCACTGTCCAATGCAAGCAAGAGCTCACTGCTAATATAGGCCCACGGGGAAATTATTTTTTATTTGGCGAGCCATATTAACAATTTTTTTTTTTATTTCGCGGGCCATATCGATATTATTTTTTATTTTGCGGGCCATTATCGATATTATTTTTGATTTGGCGGGCAATATAGACATATTTCTGATGTGGACAGCATGATACTCTTTTTTATACGTCATATACGTCATAAAAAATGGACATTGACCTCTCATCCCGTGTTTATGTTTGGAAATGAGCTCCAGAATAATTGGAAAAAATAATAATTTCTTCTTATTAATTTGATAACTTTACTCTGTGATCATTAATTTTTTTAAGGCTTTCAGAGTTAATCCATCACGATGCTCACAGTTTTACAACAACGTTAATCGAGTTCTTGGAAGTTCTTGCGGTTGGAATTAATTTTGCCAGCCGACAGCGCCTGTCCCGCGGCCCACAGGTTGTCCGGTCCTGATGTACAAGGTGCCATCCTGGATGTTTCTGATGTGTGCATCACACTGGGATGCGATATTTGCCCTAAACCAAAAATAAAAATCGGACACACATGGGTGGGCCTTTGGTACAGTTGGTCTAGCTCTTGGATATGCTACTTGTGAGGCTTCATTATGGGGTGGCTAAGGTGGGCAAACTCAGGTTAACACGGGATACGGAACACAACGTCAAATCAAAAGACGGAAGCGGAAAAAAAAAGAGGTCCACACCAACTGCCCCTTCCCTGCCCCCACACCACACCCTTTGGATAAATAGGTTCAAAAAGGGCGTGTATTCAGGGACGGAGTTAACGTAGGCCACCGAGGGCGTGTAATCATTGACGCCCCTCATCCCGCTCAAAAAAAAAAAAAAAAAAAAAAATTTGAAGTATCCTAAGAATTTAAACCCCCCGCAGCGTCCCCAAACGGAGTTAAAAAAAGGTCAGTCAAAAATTATCAAGGTTTGCTTCATCCGCGTGAGTTTAAAATTGGGGGTGTATCTGAAAATAGCGTTGGAAACATTTAATTAGCAAAGCCCGCGCCCCCCCCCCCCGGGTAATAGGACAGGAAAAGTGTAACCCCATTGGAGAACTCTTAAAAGAGACAGGAAGTAAATAATGGAAAACACATTTGATTTCACGGTATAAGTGAGTAGCTTTAGTTGTTGCGGTGCGTCAGTCGTGCGCGGCATACGTCGTCCCGTCCTTCCAGAAGGTCAGCTAGTCGTACGGCTGCGTCAGCGGAGTTTGGCAGACGGCTTCCAGCTCCCCCCAACGGCCCTGGACGTTGGCGCAGTAGCACTGGTCACCGTTATCGAGCTCCACTACCGGGCCGAACGGTATGACCTGGCCATTGGCCTCACAGTTACGACCTGGAAATCAAGGGAGATTTGTTGTTTTACATTAATTATTATGAAATGTATTTATTATATTTTCTGTATTAAAGAATTATTTTTTCTTTGTTTATTGTGTGTGTGAGGGAATTGGGGGGGGGGGAGGCGGGGGCGCTATATTTTAAAAACAAAAAGTAAGTTCAAAACTACTCACCGTTTGGACAGACGGGACAACACTCGCCTGGCGGTGTGTGGCCATCCACGCACTGACCCCTCATGCATTCCGTGACGGTACACTCGTACTTGGGCTGGGCAGTGTCACTGACGCACCGACATTTCAGGCACGGTCCTTCCTGGGGTTTGGTGAGACCCTGGGCCTGGGAGGAGAGGTGGATCGATTGGATATGATTCCATGGATAAAAGTGGGCGGTTGCTCTAGCGGTCGTAGTGGATTAAGCAGTCTTATAAGGGAGTGCATCTAGAAGTGGATCTACTGGTGGATCTATAGTCTATAGGCATGGATCTTGTGGTGAATTGATATGTGGATCTTGTCGGGGATCTCGTAGTTGATCAAGAAGTCTTATAAGTGACTGGATCTAGTCAAGGGATCTAGAGGTGGATTTATATGTGGATCTAATCGTGAATCAAATAGTGGATCTAGTGGTGGATCTATAGCTAGGTATCTTGTGGTGGATCTATACGTGGATCTAATAGTGGGTCCAGTGTTGGATAAATTAGTTGATTTAGTGTTGGATCAAATAGGCAGGTAGGGAATCAATTATGGTAATGGAGCCGGTATTGTATTTAGCGGTGGACATAGCAGTGGATCAAATTTGTGGATTTTGATATTGACATACTGTTGGATCCACTGATAGGTAGTACCGAAACCAAGCCAAAACTAAACCAGAATTGACTGGCCGCACTGAGATTTGAAAGGTTCAAGATGAAGACATTACCGCTGTCCAATGCAAACAAGAGCTCATCGCTGATACAGGCCCTAGAGGCGTAGCGATGGGTGGGGGATAGGGGGGGGGACAGATGTCCCCGGGCGCAAGATAGTTAGGGGCACCAAAATGTGCTTTGATATTATATTAGTGGTAAAAATAATGTGTTTGAGAGTTGAAAAAAAGATGAGGGGGCGCTTAAAAATAGATCTTGTCCCCGGGCGCGAATGTTGTCCCCGGACGCGAATCTTGTCCCCGGGCGCGAATCTTGTCCCCGGGCGCAAAACACCCTCGCTACGCCTCTGACAGGCCCGTAGGGAAATTTTTTGTTGTTGATTTGGCGGGCCATATGAAAATATTTTTTTTATTGCGCGGGCCATATCGATATTATTTTTGATTTGGCGGATTATAAGGAAATTCCCTTTTTTTTTGATTTGGTGGACCATATGGACATAATATTTCTAATGCGGGCAGCATGATAATCTTCTTTTATACGTCATTATATACTTCATTAAGCATGGACATTAACCACTCATCCCGTGTTATGTTCGGACATGGGCTCCAGAATAAGTTGTAGAAAAATGTTTCTTCTTATTAATTTGACAGCTTTCCTCTGGGCTCATTCATTTTCAAAGGCTTTCCGAGATAATCCATCATGATGCGTACATTTTTACAACAACATTAATAGAGTTCTTGGAAGTTCTTGCGGTTGGAATTAAATTTGCAACCCGACAGCGTGTGTCCCGCGGCCCTCAGGTTGTCCTGTCCTCATGTACAAGGTGCCATCCTGGATGTTTTCTGATGTGCGTACATCCCACTGAGATGCGATATTTGCCCTCAACCAAAAATAAAAATCGGACACCCCCCAAAAATATTCAAATGAAATAATTTGGAAAGGGTCGAGCGGACATGAGGGGGACAATGGTTGGGGTAGATAGGGGAGGCGGTCGGTCTTCCAGATAGGTGGGGTGGACGTGGGGGGGGGGGAAGGGGGTAAACATGTGGGGTGGTTGGTTGAAGCCGATGGGTGTATGTGACGTAAGTTCAGATAACTATGTTTAAAGGGTCTTAAAATTATGATACATTAAACATGAAAATTTTAGGTTTGATATTCTGTCGCAGCCCCTTTGTGTTTGAATATAAATGGCGCTACATGTAGGGCCCTGGCCTGCTCCATCACATCCGTCCATTCGGAACGATCCATGGCTTTCCGCCTCCATGCGCTAAACACCAGCTGATGTAAATCCTTCTTTAAGTCGTTGCTCCATCTCTGTCTTGGACGACGAGCCATCTGCCCGTAGGCTTCTACCTGTGGGTCCCTTTTGCTACTCTACATTCTGGCACGCTTTCAATATGTCCTGCCTAGCGCAGTCTGCCATTTTAAAAAAAAAAATTGTTGTGACTATTGGTGGGCCTTTGGTACAGTTGGTATAGTTCTTGGATATGCTACTTGGATATACTTCATTATGGAGTGGCTAAGGTGGCAAACGGAATTCGGTAGCAGCTTCAAGTCCAAAGAAGGAAAAAGGGGGGGGGGTTGAAGATATCCACAACTTCTGCCCCTTCCCTGCCCCACACGACACCCTTTGGCTCACAAAGGACATGTACTCGGTGACGGAGATAGGGTTGGTGCCAACCGGGGCGAATGATTGACGCCCCTAATCCCAATCCAAAAAAAAAAAAAGAAAGAAAAAAAAAGAACTCTGCAGTCTCCCGAAATGTCCGCTCCTCCATATAAATCGTTTAAAAGTGCCGCCCCCTCCACCCCTTTTTTTTTAAAGCTGGTTCATATTGTCTTCAAATACGTGGCACCCCTACCCTCAAACAACAACTCCGTCAGGTTAATTAATAGAATTGTAAAGCTCTTATATGAGCAGTTGGTTTGAGTTGCATGCGTAGATGTTGTGCAGTAAATCGTAGTAACCCAGTCAAGTTAAAAATTATACTTTAAAAAAAAATAAAAAGAAAAAAGAACATTTGAACAAGAGGACTTACTAAACACGGGTCTAGCAGTTTCCCAACCGCCTCGTCTGCATCCTCGGCAGCTACGAGTCCACGATAATACACGGCGAGGCCGAAGAAAACTAACGCCACTGCTCTCATTGTCAGTGTTACCAGTTGATGCTGGCGAGTGTCTCTGAAAGATGACTTCAAATCCTCGGTCCCAACAAACGCGTCACTCGGAAGAGCTTAGACCTCGCTTATTATACGAGTGGTTATTTCAAGGGCGTACACTTGAAAATACGACTGAGGTATACGGCGAAAGGAGAGTAGGTGGTTGTTTAGCCTCCAAGTCTTAAATAAACTACATGTATTTTAAAAAAAAGTTAAATCTTTTTATTTGTAAGAGATTCAAATAGCATTTTTTTGCTTTTAAATAATTTATTTTTGCCTTAGAAACTTAAGTCAAAATCGATTTCCCTTGAAAAAACTAATCGGCTCTTCTTTGATAGAAGAATTAATCATTAATAATTAATATTAATAAGGTCATCCATAATAAACCGAGGGATGACTGCCAACCTGTTGATCCTTTGACCCTTGGACTGGTCAGTGGAATTGATTGACATACATGGGAGTAAGGGGATAGTTGGTAAAATAATAATAATTGAATAAAGTTCACTTTCCTAAAACTTAAATTCAATAGTCATAAACTTGCAGGCCTCTGAACACATCCAAGCGTTTCAAGGAGGTGAAAAATTAAAAATTAAAAAAAAAAACAATATGAGAACCCTCACACTTAAGAAACGTCCATTTTTTTTTCTTTAGTGGTTGTATTTTCTTGATTTCTTTGTTAAATTAAGCATACAATCCCCAATTATTTTCCATATACCATTTCAGACCTGGGATTTGAAAATGTAGGTCAACTGCCTCCAGCCGCCCACGCCCCTACAAAATTCTTTCAAAAAGGGTGGGTGCGGCATCCAGGGACAGATTAACTCCTAGGCTGTTAATCGCCCAGACGAAAACGGAGATCTGTACAGCTGGCCTGTTCTCCGCTTCAAGCGCGACTAATATGCCGTGTTATTGATCGGCACATTGTTGAAGTCAAAAACTGCAGGCGGCCACCAGGGTGAGGGGCAATCCATCTACAACAACAACAAAATATATATATATTTTTTTAAAATTATGTCACTCCAGTCATTTTTATCCATAGCGACGATGTACGCATCCGTCGCCTAAGCAGAAACTAACCCATCTAACTGCAAGGTACGCATTGATTAATCAGGCACACATCACAGCCATTTGCGATGTACGCATTGGTTTATTGGGGCGCATTGGTCAATTGGGGCGCATTGGTTAATTGGGATGCACATCACAGCCATTTGCAATGTACGCATTGATTGATCGGGGCACACATCACAGCCATATGCGTTGTACGCATTGGTTTATTGGGACGCATTGGTTTATTCGGACGCACATCACAGCCATTTGCGTTGTACGCATTGGTTTATTGGGACGCACATCGCAGCCATTTGCGTTGTACGCATTGGTTTATTGGGACGCATTGGTTAATCAGGGCACACATCACAGCCATTTACGATTTACGCATTGGTTAATTAAGGCACACATCACAGCCATTTGCGATGACGCATTGGTTAATTAGGGCACACATCACAGCCATTTGCGTTGAACGTATTTGTTAAATGGGACGCACATCACAGCCATTTACGATGTACGCATTGGTTAATCGGGGCACACATCACAGCCATTTGCGATGTACGCATTGCATTTAATTAAGGCACACATCACAGCCATTTGCGATGTACGCATTGCATTTAATTAAGGCACACATCACAGCCATTTGCGATGTACGCATTGGTTACTTAGGACACACATCACAGCCATTTGCGATGTACGCATTGCATTTAATTAAGGCACACATCACAGCCATTTGCGATGTACGCATTGGTTACTTAGGACACACATCACAGCCATTTTCGATGTACGCATTGCATTTAATTAAGGCACACATCACAGCCATTTGCGATGTACGCATTGGTTACTTAGGACACACATCACAGCCCTTTGCGATGTACGCAGTGGTTAATTGGGACACTTATCACAATCACAAGCTTCTTCTCCCTCGCCCACCCCCATCCCCTCGTCGCTAGAATGATTGTTTATGATGGTATGTGCAACAGCTACATTCCACAAAACATGGGGGTTATTTTATTTTATAAAAGAAAATGTTATTGCTTTGTTTGACAAGCTGTTTCCGTATTTTAAACACCAATCCGCTACAATGCTGTTCTTGTTTTTTTTAATGCAAATTTATGCTTACCTTTGTGTGCGCGTCATCAATGTTGTTCATTGCTGACTCGTTAGGGTCCCAGTGAGACTTGTCTACTAAATGACTTCTATCCTAGCAAGCCGCAACTAGCTGACTCGTTAGGGTCCCAGTGAGACTTGTCTACTAAATGACTTCTATCCTAGCAAGCCGCAACTAGCTGACTTGTTAGGGTCCCAGTGAGACTTGTCTACTAAATGACTTCTATCCTAGCAAGCCGCAACTAGCAGACTTGTTAGGGTCCCAGTGAGACTTGTCTACTAAATGACTTCTATCCTAGCAAGCCGCAACTAGCTGACTTGTTAGGGTCCCAGTGAGACTTGTCTTCTAAATGACTTCTATCCTAGCAAGCCGCAACTAGCTGACTCGTTAGGGTCCCAGTGAGACTTGTCTTCTAAATGACTTCTATCCTAGCAAGCCGCAACTAGCTGACTTGTTAGTGTCCCAGTGAGACTTGTCTCCTAAATGACTTCTATCCTAGCAAGCCGCAACTAGCTGACTTGTTAGGGTCCTAGTGAGACTTGTCTACTAAATGACTTCTATCCTAGCAAGCCGCAACTAGCTGACTTGTTAGTGTCCCAGTGAGACTTGTCTTCTAAATGACTTCTATCTTAGCAAGCCGCAACTAGCTGACTTGTTAGTGTCCCAGTGAGACTTGTCTTCTAAATGACTTCTATCCTAGCAAGCCGCAACTAGCTGACTTGTTAGTGTCCCAGTGAGACTTGTCTACTAAATGACTTCTATCCTAGCAAGCCGCAACTAGCTGACTTGTTAGGGTGCCAGTGAGATTTGTCTACTAAATGACTTCTATCCTAGCAAGCCGCAACTAGCTGACTTGTTAGTGTCCCAGTGAGACTTGTCTACTAAATGACTTCTATCCTAGCAAGCCGAAACTAGCTGACTTGTTAGTGTCCCAGTGAGACTTGTCTACTAAATGACTTCTATCCTAGCAAGGGGCAACTAGCTGACTCGTTAGGGTCCCAGTGAGACTTGTCTACTAAATGACTTCTATCCTAGCAAGGGGCAACTAGCTGACTTGTTAGTGTCCCAGTGAGACTTGTCTACTAAATGACTTCTATCCTAGCAAGCCGCAACTAGCTGACTTGTTAGTGTCCCAGTGAGACTTGTCTACTAAATGACTTCTATCCTAGCAAG